GGAGCCCATCCCACAGGTCAGCAAGCCCAGGGAGAACAGCAGCCTCAGCTTTGAGTCCACAGGGCTGTCAGTGCACTTCTACCATCTTCTTTTTCAGCTTCCACTGGGTCTGATTTTTTTTTTTAAACATCTCCTACCCTCACTAGACATTGAGCTGGGCATCTGCATTCAATTATTTTATCTCTCTCCTCGATGCCACACACTGCTCAGGCTCTTGGACTCCAAATACAAAAAGCTACAGTCACATTCTCATGTTCTTTATGGTCTGTGCAGCCCAAGCAATGCAGTTTGCTTGGGAATAAATTCTCTAACTTCATATATCTTCACTCACTAAAGGCATACAAGCAGATTTGGAACTTGCCTGTGGGCAAGCAAGGTCCTGATTCGTGTTCAAATATTTCAAAATCATAAGTTTATACATTTTAAGATTCATCACACTTGGATTTTCTAAAAAGCAACATATTCTCCTAAAAATACTTCAGCATTCTCCTGCGATGAGAAAGCAGAGCTGATCACCTCCCAGATCTTTAATTGCAAACAGAGCCTTGAAAAATAACCAGTTAAGTTACTGATGCTGTGTCTTTGAAGGAGTCTCGCTTTAATTCTTCCATGACTGCATTAATTGGTTGTGTTCTTCAAGAAAGCTTTCACTTTTGGGAATGAGTGTTATTTCAATACCAGTCTTACTGGGAAAAGAGAGGAACAAAGTCGTGGCTGTGAGCAAATCCCACTCTCCTGGTGTACCTGCTTGTCCTTTTTGGGAGGATGATTCCCTGTCCCCACTCCATGCTAGCCATCTGATTGTCCCAAGTCAGCTAGATATTCCATCTAATTTATATTATACACACCCAGGCAAACGTCCAAATTAAACAGTCAGCAGGAATTTGTAGTTGCAAAAGGAGCCTGCTTAACTTTTACCAAGATTGAGAGCACATCAACTTCCACATTCAAGTCAAAGCCATCCAGGCAATCCTGTCACAGATCCATTATTTGCTGCATGTGGCTCATGAGCACAATAAATCCACTTTGCACCTTTTCTAAGATGCAGCCCTCTGTGACACCTCAGGGAAGGTGCTTGCAGAACGTACTCCAAAAGGATTCTGGAGGTTGCAACCCCGCCTATCACTCACCCACCCACTATGTGCTCCCAAGGTGTCCTAGGAAGGGATCCTCCACAGCAGCACTGTCCAAAAGCTGATCCCTTCTTTGGGGTTTCTTTTGGAGAGAACACAGCTGAAAATACTGGGGGTTGAGTTACTGTACAACTGATCTTAAGAGAAAGGAAGCAGGAGGATGATTCCCTTGGACTGTTCTGATCTTCCAGGATAAACTGTTGGGCCACTCAGAAGTGAACCCTACCAGACTCCTTCCTTCAGCTTCATGTCACTGCAGTGTGACCTCCATGAGCCAAACAAAACCTCACTCTTACTGACATCAAGAAACACTTCCATCCAGAGAACATCCTCACATTCTCCTTTCAGCAAGGGATGAGAACAGATGTGATTCCCAGCTGACTTCCATGAGAATCACAGTGTAATGACAGCAGCAACTCCTGGGCAATGCAAGGCAATAAGGAGGTGACACAGAATTTACATGACACAATTAAGATCGATGTTCCAAGTTCCATCATTTAGGTTGGAAAAGACCTCCAGGATCATCAAGATCAACTTTTGATCTGAAGCATCCTCACAAACCCATTTAAGAGCAGTGTGATCACCTTTCTCTCTCCTATGGGAACTGCCTTACAGCTCGGACCTGGCCCAGAAGTAGATGCTCCAAGGCTCCCAGTTTGCAGAGGAGCTCCATGAAAAATTATTCTAATTTAAATTAGTTGTCCTTAAAAGGATACATGCCTACACCAAACTTTTTCTGTAGAGATTTTGAACTCCTTCGAAGTTGTGCATCCTGACAGCCTCAGAGCAGTGTATTTACAAATAATGACTAATTGAATACCAAGCAGAGCATTCCATGCCAAGGCCCATTTCCAGCACAGCTTCTTTCAGGCAGGACTTCAGGAGAGCTGTGACTGACAAGGTCTCTAATGAACTCTAATTGAAGACCCGACAGCCTGAAAAACGCAACAACAGATGTGGTGAAAGGGCAAACCACAAACTGTTCTGCTAATGAATGAAAAGTGTCTGGGCTGATGAGGGCCAGTGACCCAAAAATTCTCTTTTTCCACCCACCCTTTTCCTTCATGTTCAAGTTTGAACCGTTTCCCTTGTCAGCACAACACTTGGGGGCAGTCCTGGACAGTCCTGCACACACTCCATGTATTCAGATGGACGCCAAGATGCTCTTTTATGAAAAAAGAGCAGAACATGGCTTTGATGGAGTAAGAGGGACTTCAGGGAGAGAACTCAGTGTGGTTATCCCTCCCAGCAGAAATACCAGCCTAGGAGTGGTTTTAAACTGCCAGAGTGGTTTTAAACTGTTAGATGGGATACTGGGAAGAAACCCCTCCCTGAGAGGGTGGGGAGGCCCTGGCACAGGTTGCCCAGAGAACCTGTGGCTGCCCCAGCCCTGGAAGTGTTCAAGGCCAGGTTGGACGGGGCTGGGAGCAACCTGGGCTTGTGGAAGGTGTCCCTGCCCATGGCAGGGGGTGGGATGAGATGGGCTTCAAGAACCCTCCCAACCAAAGTCATTCTGGGATTCTATGGAGATTCTCACTGTATAAGTTTTGGAAAATCTTTTACATACAAAGACATTTCTAAGTCATCTTCTCTCCTTTCAATGGATCTTAAGCAAGTAGCAAATCCTCAGTCTGGAGATCAAGTCCTATAAAAAGACTATGGCAAACTGAGCTGCAAGCAGATTTCAAGTGATAACCTAAACTTCCCACCAAAAAATTGACACAAGCCTCTGTTTCACATGTACTGCAACAAGGCAGTGTAATGAAGCAAGGAAACCCAGTACAAGGAAACCCAGAAGTCAGGGTTTATCTTTTATAATTCTATCCCAAGTTTAATAAACCCGCTCATGCTCGTCGTGCATTCGAAGTCTGACCTTTTACTTCAAGGAGGTTATTGTCTGGTAATGGCACAGGAAACAGAATTAAAACATCAGCTGTAACGGTTTGGATGAAATTTGCCAAAAAAGGTCAAAAAACTATTTGCTTGAGTCTGGCTTATGATGTTTTTGGAACTATTACAGGTGGCAGAGCATACACTGCTCTTGCCTAAGCAGTGTAGACTTCAGGAGGTCAGGCTGAGAGTGGCTGCAGAACAGGTGTACATATGTCTCAACAATGAAGAAATCGGACTGGATTTAACAAATTATTTCATCTCTACCCCAGAGAAGCGACTGCAATGACTGGGAATCACACAGACCTTCTAACAAGCATCGAACCAGTCTGGTTCATGTTACACTTGCAATATGAAAAGAAGCCCAGCAAGCGTGTTGCTGATGGAAAGCATGTAGAGCACTAATGAGCACCATCCAAAAGTAATTCCAACATTTAGAGGTACCCAGCAATTTTCTGAGTCATTAAAAACCCTTATAGCAATTACACAGTCAAGCTTCCCATGGCTCCCCAAACAACTCCTTCTTTTGAATGGTCCTGGGGAGCTGCTCAAACCCTGATATCGTCCAGTCCTCCCAGTTTCATCAGAAAACCAACCATGTCCCACCAGATCACACCTGTGATTTAGTTACTTGTGTCCTACCTCCAGCAACACCCACAAAAGTGATGCTTTAGGTTTCCAAGAGTTTTCATGGCACAGATGTAGCCAATTACTGAATGGTTTCAAGAAAGAGGAATAATCCCTTCCTGAAGGGAATAATATCTTTCCTGACCCCTAGAGCTTTCTTACCTGTACCTTGGCTTATGTAAGTAAAAGAAGTACTTAGACTTTGATAAATTTAAGTCAGTCACAACTTTTGACCATAGTTTACCAACACCAGCTTCAGAACCATTTAGGAACAGACCTCTCCAACCAAACTTTTACCTGGTGAGCAGCTGCTCTTCTGCACACAGAGATGACAAATAGCTCAGACACAATTTAAACTATTTAATTAAGAGGCACTAATTCAAATAGCTGCTATGTGCAGCACCATCAGATTTTGAGAGTCTTTCAGGCAAGGTTTGTCACCATCACACAAAATTCTGACCTGCAACAGAAAAGGGATGTAGTTCTCACTGGAGATAAGCTTTTAGCTTAATTCAAAGGTCTAACAGTCCTGTTCCAGCCTCAATGTTCTGTCTGCACAAATTTAGAAGCTTAGGTCAGAAATAAGCCATGTATTTAGACTGGACAATAGAAACAAGTTTTCCCAATTGTAGGTTCTGTACAGATTTAATCCATATTTCAGTAATACCTTCAGTTATTCCAGAGGCAACTGTGCCACACAGTTTTAAGGGAGAGTTGGCAATAACTCAGCAATTACAGCCCAAATGTACATCACAGAATGTGCAACTAAATCCTGTGCAACTTGTAATGAGCCTAGAAATCCTTCTTGTTTTCTTCACTAGCATTTTATAGGAGAACAAAAGTTCCAGGACAAGCAGTAAAACAGGTCTCGGGCATAAGATGGTTGGGTTTTTTTGACACTGGACTGAAGTATACTTGATAGAGCATAAATTATAACTAGATTTGAGTGTTCTCCAGATCCCTAGTGTTCTGACACATTCTCAGAAGTGTCTTTGAAGGGCGTGGGGTGGCACGGCCACTGCTCCTCCTACAGCTCCACACAGGCAGGTTGTTTATCAGGAGATAATACCCAGGTACCAGTGCCTGCATCAACCCTGTTCCAAGTTTAAACAGCAGCCTCCAACCTGGTCATAAGTTCATCAAGAGAGCTGCTTGTCCCTGTGTGTCCCTGCACACACAACCTGTTGGCTTGCTCAGAATAAACATGTAGATTCCTGACATTGCTCAGACAATTGTTTGTTCAACCTTGGCAAAAGACAAGGGGACAAACCAACCACCACACCTCCGAGATGTTCTTGCATACCAGACCTTTGTCACAGCCACTTCTTGGGCACAGCATCCAATACTCACCAAGTCAATGAGGTCACTGAGATTCTTCTCTATCTGCTGTGGAGGCAGACGCCTCATCAAATCCAAGGCACAATCCAGCTGCTGGTCACTCTGCAGGGACAAGAACATACATCCCTGTCACCACGTGTACAGGTAACATATCAAATCCCACACACACACACAAGAACTTGCTGACTCCTCTGATACAGGATACAGTTCCTAGTCCTAAGCAGCAGCATGGTTTGCATTAATACAAATAAAATTCAGTACATATGATCATGGATTATTGACTTGTGATTTAACACCATGCAGCTGATGGAAAGGAGTCTGGTCCTTACCAAAAACTGCTTCCAATATTTGTGTGTTTAATGTGCTGTTTTTACACACTATCCCAACAATAACCTGGGCAAGGAACTGAAAGTTCCTTCTCCCAAAGCACGTTTAACATTTCCTCATTTGCACTGATCAGCTTGAGATAACCAGTATCCAAGACAAACTCTATTCCAATACAGAGCTCTATCTCTCTCTCCCTCCTTCAGCTTTATCAGGAAACCAGAATGAAACACACAGCATGATCTACTATTTCTTTCTTCCTACAAAACACACACCAAAAGTTCCCTGTATCTGAGACCAGGGACTTCAGTTATTTAGAGAAATCACAGCAACGTTCTCCTCAGAGGGCTCATTGCAGCAGGTCTCACACCAATTCTGATACACAAAAACCACCCTTAAATTTCACTACAGAGTCAGAAAATGTGCCCCAGACATTACCATAGACACTTGATGAGTTGAGCCACGATCCTGGCATAAGCTTTAGCTTCCTTTTCACCAAGACATACAAACAGACACTTTCCTGCTGGCCTAACAGCACCCAAAATCTGCACAAGTTCCTTTGATCGCAGGTCAGGTGAAGCACAGCCAGTTTGTTTTCACTGCTCCTCCCCTCCCTTTTCTCTTTGCCATTTCTGGCCACCCATACACAACAAGCTCAGCTTTAATTTCATCTCCTGTGCTCTGCCAAGCCCCAAAAGATTTATTTAAAAACAGCTTCAGTACCAAAACAGTTCCATTATAACATTATTCAAAGTAGCAGCCCCCAGGACAGGGAGAAACAGGAAGCAAAGCTTCCTGCAATTAAGCTATGCCTTAGGAATGAGGAAAGGAGGGAGTGCTCAGTTTAGTGGACACCCATAAAGGTACTGCCCATTCACCAGCAAAAGATAAATATTTACAGCCTGGGTTGGGGAGATCATATATTTGTTTCTCATCCAGCTCACGTTATAGGACACAGCTTTGCAAAATATTCTAGCTCTGCAGTTAGGCGTCATCTCCCATATATCTGCCCAGCTCCTGCAGCCAAGCCCAGGCAGGGGATTTCTCCCCAAGTATTGTCTTTATCTCCTGTTATCTCTTATGTCCAGGAAGGAAAGCTGGCACATGGTCACAAGGTCACGCTCCTCACTTGTGGATTGTGGGAACACTTATAGAAGTGCTCCATTCTCCTCTGCCAGCTGGAATTGCTTAATAGACCAAAAAGCCTAGGGAAGGATGTTAAAAACCACCAGTAAAGCTGCAACTCCAGTAGTTTACAGTAAGGCAAATTTGAAATAAATACACTGAATGAAGGAGAATCTGTATTTGTAGTGTTTATAGACTAACCAAGAGAACTTGGCCTGACCATTTTTATACCAATATATTCAATAACAGCAGTAAAATGACATAAGCAAGACTGTTAAAGGCAGAGATTCTCAAAGGGGGTCAGACTCAGCTGGCAGTGGAAAACCAAAAATATCCAAGCAAATACTAACAGTGTATTTTCCTGGTATCAAGGAGGTAAAACCACGGCTGAGCAGCAGCCCTCTCCAGTTTCTTGCAGAGCATTTAGGTAATTGAACAGCTTGCCAACGGATCTCCTAAAGCACCAAAATAAAGGCAGGGTCTGCTGTAGTTCTGTCTCTAAATCCATGGGTACACGGTCACTTTAATCAGCATAAATCTGGCTGAATGGTCAAAAAGACAGCACAAAGACAGATTAGAGAGTAAAGTGGTACTTTAGGGTATTGGATGCATCTGGTATATCCAATTTCAGAATTGAAATGGTAATTCTACCAGGATCTTTTGCTTCTGGTTCTTTCACTGCAGGGGAAATGAAGGTTTAAAAACCAGGTGTGTGTCAAATACATCCTTTGGTTCCACACCTGTGCCCAGATGAAGGACATGGAATAGATGGAGGCACTTAACACACAGAGAGACAGGAACCACATCCAAGGTGCCAGAACCAGCAGCACACAGTTCCCTGATTTTAGGGAAGGTGAACGCTCCCAGGGATGTGCTGCCACTGCAGTTTTGAGAGTTGCACATTATTAGTGGCACTTAAACCCCACCACAACCTGTGTGAGAAGAAGGTGCTCTTTGGGAACTCAGGACATACGTCACCCACCTCACCAGAGCTGACCTCACTTACTTAACTTCACCTGTTCCGGACTTCCACTTGCTTAATCCTCTTGTAAAATCATGTAGCGAAGACCGGGTTTATAACAGACCTCCAGACAAAACATTTTTGCCTTTGGATATGGAGAGGCTTATAAACCCCTGCTCACTGAGCAGGTGATCAGACAGGCTGTCTCCAGGCTGGGCTGCTCTCAAAGCCAAGCTCTTTGAGGTTACTGGACTTAATGAGCTTCGTGTTTACTTGATATGAGGTCGTTTTCCACCATTCCTGTTTCATCCAGCCCAGAACTCCTGTGGAGGAGCAGGGAGTTCAGACAGAAGGTTTAAATGAAGTTTTATTACAGTTGAAGTCACTGAAGGATTTAGAAATCACAGGAGTCTCAAAGACTGAAAACATTAGCTTAGTTGAAACCTCTTTAATAAGCTTCCTCTAAAGATGTTTGACTATCTAGAATCTCCACTTAAGCACCTGCTACAGCATTCCCATGGTACTACCACAGGGAAAAAGGTTATGTCTATAGTTATGTTTCCTTTGCCTGCATTTCCTCTTCAGTTTCTTTGCTGTGTTTAGCTTATTTACAAAAAAGAACCCCTCTGACAACAGCCACAGGTCCCTGGTCATTTAGGCACACTGTGCTAAAGCTCAAATCAGAAAAAATAGTGCTTAAAGGTAAAAAATTACCTTTACAGATGTGCATTTGCACAGGGGCATAGGTGTATACTTTAATTTAAAGGCTGAGTACGGGCAGATGTCATTCAACGCAGAAAACACAGATTAAAAAAAAAAAACAACAGGAAGTCACTATAGGTACAGAAATCACAAAAACTGAAACAGGCAAAAAGCTGAACTTCCTTTTGACTCACACTCATGAAGTGTCCTAAACCACAGAGCTCCTTGGGCTGAGGGGGACAGGGCACAGGAATATCCCCGGCAGGAAGGGACTGTGCTGATATCAGGAAACAGGAGCTGACCCAACACTGCACGAACCTGTGAGCAAACAGCTTCGTCTGCAGCTGCCATAGCCCATGGCACCAAACCCACCCTGCAGACCAGGCACTAAGCCACCCCATGCCTGCAGAGCCTTGTGCACAGAACTGACACCTGATAAAGTTCTCACACCCCAAGATACACATCTAGAGCCCTTCCGGCACCAGCATCGCTGGCAGAACCAGTAACACCTCACACAAGTGACACTTGTTTACTCTTTTCAACAGACACCAGCACTCTGAGGAGTTACTACAAGTATTTTGCACTTTTAAATGTCTTTACAGAGGCATTTCACTGTACACACATGGAGAAATTCACAGGCTTTATTCCCAGCTTTTGACAGTTCTTTGTTGCCAGTTCCCTGACTTAACTTATATTCCATGTTTTCAGAGGGTTTACACAAACCTGCAACTGAAGCCTTTCCAATTCAAGGCACGTTAAAGACTTCAGTTAAAGCTCCCAGCCTTCCAGTCAGCAGGAATTTGCTCCCATTTATCACAAAGCCCTGTGGATTTAATTCCCTGGCCTTCACACCTTTGTTGGGATGGATCCTGCTCATCTGACTGTGTTATTGCTGATAATAAACAGAGTTGGGCAGTGTCTTCAAAATGAAACCCAGGCTAGTTTCACTTCTGTGTTGTGTTTCTGTATTAATTCTACTCAGAGGTAACTCCTGAGCTGAGGTAGCTCAGTGCTACAGCAGTGGCAGCTTCTCCAAATTTAGCCCTTTCTGGGAAATAAGCCACTTGGGCCACCAAATCTTTTCCACCGGCAAACCCAATACAACACTTCTACTCCAGGCATGAATGTGCTACCAACCCCCTTTTCCATCAGTGATGCCAGCTGAGAACAACTGGGTGACCTAAAAATTACTTCAGTAATTAAGATTAAGGTGAAAAGGCCACATAGCTGATGTAACAGATAAAACAAAGGTTTTTGAGATGCTTCACACACAAGTTTTGCTCAAGGCTGGCATCTGAAGGGTTATTTATCCAAGTTGGCATCTCAATGTTCAGAGAACAGACATAAAATAAAAACCTGAAGAGACACCACAATTAGAACATGTGCTCAATTTGATGCAATTTGGAGCAATCACACATCAGATCACTTTGATCAATGGTCAGTTTACAGGCAAAGTATTCATTAACTTCATTAACTCTGGGCCAGAAGTACACAACCAGCAAATGACTGTCTTTCCTTCCTTTCATGCTCTAGACATACCCCAGATTGTAAATCATATTATTTCCTGTCAGTTCTCCCAACAGGAATGTCTGACTAATGTTTCGGCTTTGTGGTACTACAACACTAAGATTTTTTAACTAAAACACATACCCAGCTTCCCCTCCTGCTTGTCATTTTAATCCCTGCCAACTTCCAGAGCTCCAAAGGCAGAAGACTCCCTTTTCCAATTACACAATAGGATAATATTACTGCTTAAAGCTGTAGCAAAGGGTTGAATTATTGTAACCCTTGGGTAATAAAAAGTACAGTAGTATGTTAAGTTGCAGAGTTCCCTTCTCAGCTGTCAGCATTCACTTTTTAGGATGTGAGACGGGAAGGGGAATAACTGTCTGACCTAGGAAACCCCAGAGAAGTTCTGCACTTATGACATTTCCATCAGCTGCACGTTTTCCTCGCAATCTGTTTTTCTACATTTGTTTTCCCTTGACTGTTAACCCTCCTCTGGCAGATCCTATCTAAACCCATTTGTAATGAACTCATAAATCAGGGCTCCGTGACACTAAGGTGTGCTGGGGGGAGAAAAAGCAATTGCACACTTAGGAACCAATCAAAGGCAATAAAACCTGAAGACAGTCATAAAAGGTCAAAGATTATTAAAAGAACAAGACACTGATGCAGACTTCATCCTCCTTCTGTTGAGCTACATTTACCTTTGTCTTTTTTGGTTGGGATGGGATCCAGTGGCTTTTATTATCTCAGACACTTCTGACCACGTTGTGTGTTCAGTAACACGTCCAGCCCAATTTGCTGCGGTCAAGACCAAACAGCCACTTGGTGACACTGCTCGTTCCACGAATACCAAGTGAGAAGGATTAAAGATTAAAATAAAAGCAAGAAGTGATGGAGCGGAAGGCTTTAGCAGAAGCTGCTGTACTGTCTCCCCCAGCTCCCCCGTAATCTGTATTTATTTACAGAGCAATTGTACAAGCCACGTCACAGCTTTTGAGTCAGCGAATCCTCCTCGGAGACGTTCTCCTGCACAACATTATTTGTTTCATTCTGCTCTGAAATAACTTTTAAATACAATTGAGCACACAGCAGCACCAGCCCCAGTTACTGACCGAAAACCCTTTTACAGCTTGTTTTCTAAATTCGAGCCAGTTGTACGCACTGCAAATGCACCTGCACGCTTGCCAAAAAATGAGGGGTCTACTCTAAACAGCTTTTGTTCCACATTGTTCCAGAAAGCAACACACAAACTTCAGACAGACAAGAGCTCATGAGGGATCTCTTCTTTAAAGAGGTTCTCTGGGAATGAGGAACTCCCACATCTGCTCCGAAGCCTCACGCAGGGGAACTAAAATAATCTATGGGAAGGAGAGCAAGTGAGGCAGCTTAACCTTCCTTGGCACCAGCTGCTGACACTGGATACTTCTCACAATTTTGGGTTGATAGCACAACTATGGCAAGGCCTGGACAGATTAAAGGAGTAGCAATGAGCTTCTAGGAGCAGCTATCAAAGAGATCTCCTCCAGACAAGCTCAATGATCAGTGTTTGCCAGATCCTTGTTTGTGCTTTACCTTGAGGGAGTTCTTCCAAGCACCCTTTCAATAAGATGTTGCATCTGACTTCCCTCCCTCATTCCTACCTCCAAACCATGCCAGCATTGTTCTCTGTCCATAGCACATTACCCAACATCCCAACCCAGCTCTAAAACAATTATCAAGTGAGTTATAACACACGGAAGGCATTTCCAGCCATGAGCTTCTAAATAACCCAGAGCTGCCTGCAGCTTAATCTCATGGAACAACTTGTCAAAACATTTTACATCTGTGGAGAAGAAACTACAACCTCTGATAGTCTGGAGCAGGGCACTTGCCTGTAATTCTCTAATTGCTTGAGAAGTGAGAATCCAGCAGCTCCAGGAGTACACTCTGCCCGATGAAGTTCCTGTTACCACATCTACAAAGGTGCACAGCACACAGCAAAAAGATTAACATTTCCTTGGCACCTCCTTCCTAGCAAGGATGCATTTCCAGATGGCACCTATTTGCATATTTGATACTTTCAAAACTAATTTACCGTTTATCGCCTTAATTTATATAAATCCAATGCAAGTCTCCATCACCTCTCCAAGGAAAAGAGCCACCACTCACAAACAGAAGAGCAGGATGGACCAGCACCAAGGATTTCTGGAAACAGCTATTCATCTGACCTTTTGCCAGGATCACTAATGATTTCTACACCAGCATTTGTCTTCTGGCTAACAGAAACAATGCTTTATTTATTAAACTTGTCATTGAACGTGACAATGCAATTTACTGGCTTTTATCCGGTGCCAAGCATAAAGTTTGCAAAAAGTCATTTCCCAATAAATTGTGGCAGGGAGTGACTAAGCAATGTTAGCCCCATATGAAAGAGGAAAGTGGGGGCTGCAGAGGAAAGTTGCACAGATTGCAAAAAGCATCTCTAACTTTTGATAAATGGGACTGAAACACTCAAGTTGACTGTAGAACTGACCAACTTTGCTAATAAGATTTAATTCGATGTTACTGCACAACAGGATTTCTTTCCTCATTTTAAGTCTGGTTTTAACCCAAAATAACATATTGTTAGACCTAACTACAGATAAAAAATCTTAGCTAAACAAAATGGAAATAACCTGTTAGAGCACAGCACTGAGACAAGACCTTGTCCTAGTTTTGCAAACACTTCATTAGGAAGCTGCAACATGCTGCAAAGGGTTTCACTACCAGGACAGATGTTGAGTGTGTACATACCCCAAAAGACAGACACCCACAGGAGCTTTACTGGCAGTAAAACCACTCAGTAATACCTAATGCATCAGGTAACATCAGGTACCTCAATATTTCCTTGTGACTGAGTTCAACACTGTACTTCAACCATTTTCTGCAGCTTCACAAACCCTTTGTACATCTGAAGGGGTTGTGCAGTCAAGCCTTGCTTTCTAAGAACTGCGCCCCCCACCTCCCGCCCACGTCCTTCCCCCCTGCCTGCTCACCCTGACTCACAGGATGCAGCAGATCTGTGCCCATGCACAGGAAATCCTCACAGGATCCTTCTCCTGACCCTGGAAGAGCTCTAATGCATCTACCCCTGCAGGATCCCTCTGGCCAGCTCTGAGCTTCAACCCTGCAGGTGGATCCCAAATTACTGATTAATGACTTCTCATCCCCATCCTCCCACTTCATTACTTCGTTCTTCCTCTGTAAACGTACGAACTGGGTTAGTTCAGGCTCTGAAATCAGCCCATGCAGCATGGTTGTGTTGGTTCACAAGTCTGATGACCTGGTTTTCACACTATCTTCCTGCCTTCCATTCAAATATTCCTGAGGAGCCACCCAAACCCGTCCCTAAGGAAGGTCCGCTTAATTTTTATGGAGGGCAATTATTGTATTTTTTAAATTGAAACCACAATTACTACAAATACAGCAGCTCTTGAGATTCAGCGCTGCGATTTGCCACCCTGGCCATCTGCAAATGTGTCGTTTGTGATGCTTTCTTTTAATCCCGTTAATGCTCAATGACCTTTTCAAAATGCTCTTTTATTCTTGGTTCATGTTCCAATCAGCCCGGTCACAAAAGTTTTGGAACTGCTCAATTGAAATGGAAAGGTTTTTTTCTTGCAGAAACAGCCAAGTTCGGCAAGTTGGTCCCAGCCTGACAGATCCAGGCTCTCCTTCCAGTCTATGTTGTCTATGTTGTTCTATGAGGAATTACATCAAAAAAAAAAAAAAAAGAGAAAAGGCACATAGTTAGGGCAGAAGGGGGCACATGATGTATTACCAAGGTGACAGTAACCATCGCATGCTCATGACAGCACAACTGACACCCACTGAACGGCCCAAACGCAGGATGGTGCTGTGTCCCAGCCTCTCAGAGCTGCAGCTGCCCGGCTCTACGTGTAAACTCAGCATTTTGCTGTCCTGGAGGCTGGTAGCCAGGGTTGTAAATTCATGAGATTACTCTGGCAAGTAACCGGATGCCTGGCAAGGCAGGGAGGACACACAGGGGATCTCTCATCAGCCTCATCCTGAGCGTTCTCCCATTACCTAAAAGGTCAAAAAAGTAGGTTAATATGCCTTTTGCCCGGGTATTGCACCAAGTACTTTGCTGACTGTCCTGCAAAGCTCCCAACAGCCCAGTTTTGCCCCAGGAATCCAAGTTTTAAACATACACACAGGCCATAGGAATACCATACCTCCAGTTAACAACATATTCATGCTTCCCAGATTTCCTTCCCTTGACATAATTCCCAGATTTGCCTATTCTTGAAGTCTTTCCATGCTTTCCTTGCCACTGCTGACCTGCCCTCAATTGCACCTGCAGACAGGCAGTGTGGGATCCAACACCACAGATAATTCTGCAAAACTTTTAATAAATTCAAGCAGTAGAGACACTTTCTGCATGAGCAGAGCTCCACCTGGTATGTGCCACCTTCAACCCATGTTAGATTTCTCCTTCACTCTAATGTGAAGTTAATAGTTATTCCATTTGGCCAGTTCTTCACCTCACCAAGCTCTGGAATAGCCCTGCCCGGACTCATGGCTGCTGAAGCGGTGTTTGACCACCCAGTGGAGCACTGTCAATGCTAAGCCAAGATTATAGCCAAACCTCTCTGTGATGACCCCTAAACATGAGGGGTGACAGCACTCAGTAGATAAATACAGCTTTAACTGTTGTGATCAGCACAATGCAGCTGATATTTTACCTCATTCTTCCATTTCATGGCTCTCTCCTCCTTTGAATTAACTCACCGAAAGCCCCATCTCTTGTTTCTGGAGCCAGTCTCAGATTGCAGCCCAGGCTCACAGCCAGACCCCCACCATCTGGGCAGGCAGAAGCTTTTTAAATCCTGATCTTTACCAAAGCAAAAATGACCAGGGAAGGCAGGTAACAGGACATCACTTTCAAACTCAGCAGTTTGTCTAATCAAAAAGACACCTGAAGAAATGCAAACAAAATTCTCTGAAAGAATAAGGAGTATTTTATTTATGGTGGCTTTAGGCAACCACTAAGCTTCTGTCTTCAGTGCAGTCTCAACCCTTTTTCCTTCCACACAAAATCCTCTTAAGTGCTGTTTTCAGTCTTGTTTCAGCTGATGCTGCTAAAATTGTGAGATCCTGAGTTCTGCTTTCGCCCAGGCTGGTAACCCTCCCACTTTGCAACAAGGACGTGATTGAAATTCCAAGTCAGTGCACCAGGAAAGAACTCAGCTCCACTTTCTGTAACAAAAAGTCATGGAGGACATTCTCCTTAGACTCAGGGACACGACCCTGGCAAGGACAAGCTCTGCAGCATGGCTGCAAACACCTGGAGTCCTGTCCCAAGAGTTTAAATCCAGAGTCAGGACTCCTAAACCAACCCTGCAATGAAAATACTACAGGTACACTGATGAAATATACGGTTTAATTTGCATAGAGCGAGAACAAAGTAGGTAATTTATCAGCAGAGGAGCCAGATAAGTCAAAGGCCTGCAAATCCATTCCCAGTTCTTCAATCCAACTTGAAAGGTGCAGCACAAAGAGTATGAGCTCAAAGCAAGTTGAGTATTTCCTCCCAAACCCTTGAAAAGGGAGGGAGGGCAAAACACCAGCACCAGATAACACAAGGAAATTAATCTCCTGGTTGATGCCAAGTCTCAGGCCATCACTCCAGGAAACACAGCACGAGATATTACCTAATGCAACTAAAGTCATTCTAAATAGAAGTCCATTTGGGGCACAAATAAGGAATAGATCCTGTTTTCAATTCCTCACTCAAAGCTGGGTTGTACCTAAAAGATCAGGAGAAGGAGAGGATTCCATTGCATCTGGCATTACTCAGACAGCACCTGTTCAGGGAAATTATATTTTAATTAGAGAACAAGCAAAGCCCCTTCCTCAAGTACACCGTGTTTTCTCTCCATGATAAATTCCTTCAGCTCAACTAACAGGGAAACATCTTCAAAACTTACTCAACCCATATTCCCCCTTGTGCCCCACAAAGGAAGTCTCAAAAGGTCATCTGTGTCTCATCTACCACTTCCCAAGACAACCTGTTTGGAGGCAATCAGGATTAATAAGTGATTTCTGGCCACTGGACAAGGTCCAGGTGACAGGAACCCTGAATTATTGAAACTCAAGTAAGTCACAACAGCTCAACACTCTCCAGTGGTTCAGTTACAGCTCTCAGCCAGGTACCTACACAGAGTATTTGGTCAATTCTCACATTAAAGTCAACATGAACCCCTCAGTCAAGGACTATTAAATAATTAAGAAGGCATTATACAAAAGATGAAGAAAAAAATCAGTTTAAACTCTGGTTTTAAACTCTGGTTTAAAGTGGCCACACCTCCACTGTACTGCCCAGAGTTCTTGATCTTTATGTTCTAATTAACACAACCATTCAGAAAACAAAATGTGAGGTAAAGCCCAGCTAGAGAGAGCAGGAAGCTTGGGAAAAGCTTATACTGGTAAGATGTATTAATTGCTCCTTCAAGGATGAAACCTCAGTGGTTAAAGAAATTCAAATTTGAAATCACATGTTTTTAAGTGAGTTTTTTTTCACTCTTATTCCAGGAAGTGGCAAAAGATTAGGAAAAACTGAAGGGTAAACATGCTTTAGACTTTGTGCATTAAGGAGAGAGACAAAGATTTACTTGGTTGAGGGTTTTTTAAACTCTTCAGGACTCCTTACAGGACTCAGTGGGAAAGCAGGAAATTTCATGTCCTTTGTAAATCACTATAAAGTGACTGAATAAAAAAATATCGATAAAAACAGAAGATCAACATCACTTTGAGTATCTCCTTTGCCTGAAAAAAAGAAAAAATCCTTAAATCACATTGAATTAAAGCGAGGTAGAAAAACAGGGCTTAGCATGGATGGAGCTCTGAGCAGCCTGGTCTAGTGCAAGGTGTCCCTGCCCATGGAAGGGGTTGGACTATAGGGCCTTTTAAGGTCCTTCCAACCCAAACTACCCTGTGATTCTATAGCCCTAAACTCCAGCTTACGCTGCCTGCACAGGCACCTTTCACTTCTCCAGCAAAATTGCCCTCTTCAGTAGGCACTAAAATACTGTTGTATTTCACTTTGAGGAAGCTCTACCACCATCTGCACCAGCTCAAGGGGGAAAATCCCCACAAAACGCTTCTCTACAAGTTTACTTAGCAGGGTAAGGAGCTATTTGGACTTGACCAAATATCCCCTTAACGGGCAGACAGGAGAATAAACACAAGCACTGGTACTGCACAGCAAGTTTGCAGTCTTTATTTATTTATTTAGATATTTATTATCTAAATTATTATAGACCATCTGGGTATAAATTGGAGTTTTAAGGCTTTGGGGCGACCTAATTGTGGACTTTCAGTACCTGAAGGAGCTGACAGGAAAGACGGAGAGAGACTGTTTACAAGGGTCTGGAGTGACAGAACAAGGGGGAATGGCTTCCCACTGACAGAGAGTAGGGTTAGATGGGATATTGGGAAGAAATTCTTCCCTGGGAGGGGCTGAGGCCCTGGCACAGGTTGCCCAGAGAACCTGTGGCTGCCCCATCCCTGGAATTGTCCAAGGCCAGGTTGGATGGAGCTTGGAGCAGCCTGGGCTGGTGGAAGGTGTCCCTGCCCATGGCAGGGGTTGGCACTGGATGGGCTTTAAGGTCCCTTCCAACCCAAACCATTCTGGGATTCAATGATCCATCAAAGCCAAAGTGGCCCAGTACAGAGCACTGGGGAGCACTGCATGATGATGCGCAACTCCGAGTTCCCCAGACATCCTTCGCACAGGGAAGTCAAGGGAAGGAAGGAAAGCAAAACTGACAGCTGTGGAAGCAGAAACTGAATAGGGCAGCAATGTCTCCTTCCCAGAGAAAGTAATTTCTCAACTCAACTACAGTAATAAAGACTAAAAATAGGCATTCAAAAGAGCTGAGCTGCACTTTCATTTTGTTTCCCTCCCAGATGTCAACTAGTCCCATATCAGCACATATATTTACCATATGAGGAAATCCTGTTTGAACAACTTCAACTTGTGAATGCTTTTCCTTCCCTACTAAACCACAAGATTAAGCATCAGTGCAATGGCAGTATTCCCTATCCCACTGATATCCTCTGACTTGATTATTTTGGGAATTTGCCGTTTAGGATAACATTTAGCTAAGGTCACACTCTTGGCTTGGCTAATAAAACAGACTCCACAAAACAGCTGAAGTTGGTGTTTCTTAGAAGGCACAAGGTGCAAAGGACTTGCTGTGGAGACTGAAAACATCTCCTGAGCTCTCACACATGGGAGGTGTCAAAACAGACACAGCCAGGTTAGAGATGGGCTGATTCCAGACAAACAACCCCTTCCCTGAAAAACAGTGTGACTCTGAGCAGCTCCTGAGGTTTGTGTGCTGCGTGCCACTGTCACACCACACACTCTGGGCCAGCCATGTCTCTGCACTTCTCAGCTGCCTCAAAAATCCTACAAGGATAATGCCAGCCAGCACTACACAAGACAGACTGACTTTATGGTTGATTGAATCATATATTTTCCTAAAATTGTCCTCCTTTTCCTCAACAGTTGCATAGTAGAAGAAATCCCTGCTAACGTAATCACACCAGTTTATGTAACCCTGGAAAAAGGGTTTTATTTTTTACAAAGAGTAACTGGATTCCATCCATTCATAGCCCACAACTCCAGAAATCTCAGTAGATCCACTCTCCCAAGTCCTGCTTTCCCTGAACAGTGCATTTTGTTTATTTTTAGCTCAGAAGACACATCCATCCAGGCAGTTTTCAAGCTTCATATGCTGCCCTGCCCTGTTTCACTGAGCACCTGACTGAAATGTGGACACAGTTCCAAGTTCTCCCTTCAGCGCCCTGGGAGCACAGACTGGAAACAAAGGTTCCCATCTTTGCTCTGCACAGATATTGGTAACCCTGTGGTACCAAGAAGGTGTTTGACCCAATATGCTGCACCACACCAGCTGCTCCCAGCTGTTCTCTGCAATAAAAGGGCCATTTCATCATTTTAATGATCCATTTCTGTATCCTCGCCTCAGACCGCTAAAATTAGAGATCTTGGAAGCACCCTAAAGTCTGGGTTTGCACTTGAGTTGAAACTGGAAGCTGCAGGTTCTTCCCTGAAGTCCACTCAATATTGGAAATCACCACATGCTGTTGGAAGTTCTGATCAAATTTCTCCTGCTGTGATCTCCATGACTAAACATGAAAATATCAGAAGGCAGTATAAGCTTTTAACACTCAGGAAATTTCCAAAGGATTTGTGCTCTACTTCTTTCAAAAGACTGGCACAGTTACACTGAAACCCTGACTGCAGGTTTTATATCCCCTTAAGGAAGTCGGTACCACCACTGTTATTTTACTTGAGGCTTCCTTGTTTTCCTTGCCCTCTTCTCCTGTGAGGAATTTTGCCATGGCAGAAGTCAGGGTAGTCTGCTGGAATCCCAATTTCAAATTCCACAGTCAGGTCTCACGCTCAGAGATTTCAGTGCGTTAAAATAAGCTACACAACTGCAATAAGATGCTCCCTCCTGTCAGAAGTCAGATACAGCACCTGAACCAATGAGAGGAGCAGAACTTTGATCTCCACTCTTCTTCACCTTTCACCTAACACCAAAGATCTTTATCCTGCATGATACGGGTGGCAAAAAACATACAAGCACTGACTCTGAAATTCTTATGGTTGAAGGTATTAAGTCAAGGATTACACTTGTTTGGTTAACACCATTTGTATTGCTGGGCTCAGGGTTGTTCTTCTACAAACTAAATACATTTGAACATTCTGAAATTGTTATGCTGGAAAACCTGAACTATAAATTTCTAAACAGCATAAGGTGATGTGATTTCCTACAAGTGATTCCATCCATGAGGAGGCTGTGGAAAAGCCCCTGCCCACGAATGCAGGGAAGGGCCTGGGCAGCCCCCATTTTATCCCTGCCCTGGCTCGGAGCCGATGGAATCTGCTCCCTCCCCACAGCACCAAATTCAAAGGTTTGTGCCCTGGGCTAATCCAGGAAACACACGGTGGGATGGAGATTATTCCACATGGCTGAGGAAACTGGAGGTTCTCCGTGGGGGAAGGAAAGTTCTGAGCCCGGTGGAGGAGCAGCCAAGGCTGCAGCACCCCCTGTTCCGGCTGCGTTTGGCTTTCCTGTATTTCGCAGCTTCCATGAGCTCCCAGCACAGCGAACACCCATCCCTCTTCCCGACGGGGAGAGAGAATTTGAATTTAAGCACAGCAGCAACAGTGGATGGGCCCAGCAATATCCCGGGCGGTACCAGCCGCCGCCAAAGCGGAACCACTCCCGCCGGGATTCCACAGCCTTCCCTCCGGGAATACCGCCCGGGACAGGGTGCAAGGACCGGGCAGTGATCGGGCAGCGGTGCACCGGGCGGGCCCTGCCGAGATGAGGCCCTCCCGCCCCCCAGGCCCCGCAGCACCGCCCGTCCCTCCGTTCCCGCTCCCTCCTCGCCGCCCGGGGGAAAGCCGGGCGAGGTCCCCTGTGCGCGCGGCGGCGGTGCGGGTCCGCGGCGCGGTGCCGGCGCGGTGCCGCTCTCACCATGTCGGCGGGGGCGGGTGCGCGGGGCGGTAAAAACGGCGGCGCCTCCCGGTCCGTCGCTGTCGCTGAGAGGCCGCGGCCCGTCCGCTGCTTCCGCCGCCGCCCGGCGGGAACATCCGGGTCCAGCGCCGCCCCGCCGCGCCCCGCTCCACCAATCAGCGCGCGACTCGCCGGCCATCGCCAAGTATTGGAGCGCGGCGGGGCGGAGGAGCCTTGCCGCGGGGGGGGGGGGGGGCGGGGAGGAGCCAATTGCCTGGTGGGGGGGGGAGAAGGGAGGGCGGCACAAGTGCCGCGCGGAGGTGCGATAGGCGGCCAATCAGGGGCAGGCGGGGCCAGGGGCGGGGCCTGGAGGGGGCGCGCCCCCCAGCGCTGGCCCGGCCGTCAGTCGGTGCTGGCGCGTCCGCGCTGCAGCGCCTGCGGCCCTTGAAGCGCACTCAGATGACCCTTAGGGCTAAACGAAGGCACACGCCAGCTCCGTAGCAAGCCAGCGCTGAGAATTGGGCTTTACAGAGGTAAACTGGACTTCACACGTCACTGCTGGTTCTACCTGTAATGCATCCGCCAGCTCTGAAGTGACACGGAAAACCAATCAGCCTCCGGCTGCTTAAGGCCAGGGATAATTAGTTTGAAAAGGAAGTGTTCGGCGTTCTATGGAAGTTCAGCAAGCAGGTGCCTGCTGGAAGCTGTGCAGATGCTGACATAGGTTGATGCCCTCAGGGCTCAGGCAGCTCTGATAGGGATCACAGAATCACAGAATCACAGAATATTTAGGGTTGGAAGGGACATCTGGAAGTCATCTGGTCCAACCCACCTGCCAAGGCAGGGTGATCTGGAGGTGACCTGGAGCAGGATTCCAAATACAAGACAGAAATCAGGGTTTATGAGCAGATAAAACATTTCTACTTTGCTCAAGCTGTCCCAAAATAAACATTTTTTTCTGTTACTGGACTAATTCTCATTTCAGTGATCTCAGGTAAGACATCCTGACTCCAGATTCCTGATTTGTGCTCAGTGTGGACCTGGGAATGTTAGAGCTACAACACAGCCGGTTACCCCAGGAAAGCGCTGGATTTGCTATGCACCACCTTGCTCTGCAGCTCTTTTGGAACAATTCTGCTCGTGTTTCACCACAGTTTTGGCACCAGGACCCCAAGAACCTTCCACTGGTACTCTCTGCACTGCAGACTTGGCTGTGGTGAGCCAAAAGTCCTTCCATTATTCCATTTACATCCCTTGTTTTGCTGTAGAAGCTGGAAATGCTGACACCAGGAGTCACACTTGGCTTTTCCCTTGGAGATGACACTGTGGAACATCCTCCCCACAGGAGGTGACCAAGATGGACTCAGACAGGTGTTTGTGGCTCAGTTCTATCAGATACCAAACAGGACCTTGTAGGAGATAACAGCTCTGACAGCTCCTTAACTTAACAGGCCAAACCAGCCACAGCTTTCCATTTGAAAAGGACAACCCCAGTTTCTAGGGAAGGGAACTGCTTGGACATGGATTCAGTTACAACAGCTTGAGAGAGAACTGTAAAACATGACTTTGCACGACCACATGCAGACCTAGCAGCTCTCACCCGTGTTCTTACTGCAGAAACAAAATGAACCCAGGAAGGAAAGGAGAGAAAACAGGAGAATGATCTCAGGATAAACAGGAGCTTTACTGCTTCAGAGAAACACAAAACCACATTGAACTCCATCAATAACCACTACCAAATAAACCCAGAGGTGGGAGATGACCTTGCAATGTCTAGTGGAGCAGCCACATGACCTCAGAAGGCTCAAGCGCCTCCAAATTCCCTTCTTTGCCCCTACTCCTCAGCCCAACCTCCTAAACCCCAGTTTGTAAGATGCAGCAATCCCAAGCGGTTCCTATTTTGTAATCCCCAGATCCTCCTCCAGTCCTTATGTTCCCTCAGAGCTGCCTCCCGGCAGTAATTAAGAAAAGCAAACCTGTTCATTACACAGGGCAGATAATTCATTCATTTTCCAGGGCTCCACACATCTAACGTGTGTGTCTTCCTTGGGACTGGGAAGCCAGAATTGCTAAATTTGACAATGCCCTTCTAAAACTTCCTTATTTTTATCACAAAACTCATGCAATTTATTCAATGACAACTATACTTGTAGTAGCTTTTAGTTTTGGACAGAAACAGCTCCTATTTGCTTGCTGAAGAGGCAGAGCAGGAGCAGAATTAGGCAGCCCAGTACATTTTAAACAATTTGAGATCCAAATGAATGTCAAGGCCAAGAGGATGTTTTTCTTAGCGGAAGACATACAAGCATCCTGGATTTTGTTTTCCTGCTAATAGGTATAAAGAAGAATAAACAGCTGCTTTTTGTTTTCCCCAAAAATATCTGCATTAAGAAGATCTGCAGATTCCTTCTGAAATTGATGTCACATCTTTTTTCAAATGAGGACCAGCTGCTTGCTTTGCTTGTTTACAGCAGAACAGGCTTCAGGGAATTTTGGTTGTTTGTTTATTAAGATGTAGGAAGGGACTCTCCCCGGCAGGCTCCACTTTGGAGTGTGGAGTGGATCCCAGCAGGCAAAAAATCCATGGATGTCCCTACCATCCTGCCTTCTGTCGCGATTTGTGGAGGGGTTGGCACCAAATACAGCAAATTCGGGGATATTCCATAAATCCCAGTGCTGTGAGCTGGCATTACCTGTACCTCGGGCATTTCCCAAACCTCCTGGCGTGGAATCACCCACCTAAACAGGACAAAGTGCTCAAAAGGCTTCGTGTCAGGCATCACCCCTCTGTAAAATGAGGGTCTGTAAACAAAGGAAGCAAACAATGATGTCACTTGATGGCTTAACGGCCCAACAACATCGGATTCATGTGCAATTAATAACAAGGCTTTTGATCCTGCAATCAGCAGCTCTAAAATCCATGTGCTTTCCCTGTACATTTAATTACACTCAAGGAAGCAAAAGGATAAACACTTATTAGCATTACAAAGTACTTTTCACATTCAGCCAGAACTTCCTGAAGCATTAGTGGTCCAGCACACTGTGGTTTTTATTTTATCCCCCTGCATGCATGGTGAAACGCTATTTATTTTGTTTATTCCAGCATTTCTCCAGGACCAAGGGGGACTGTGAGAACGTGCTTAGGAACAAAATCCTAGAGAAAACCTTCATACTTCACTAACTAGTCATTTTTTTAATAAAAAAACATCTTAAGCCTTTTCTTTAGGTCACATTGCCCATTTTCTTTCACGGCACTTAAAAGGTATGTAAACTTTTATTAAGAGTTCTCATAAATTGAATTTATGCTGCAAGAGTCTTCCAGCAATGGTGAAGTTTAGCTTGCTGGGTTTTATTAGTCAGAGTCAGTAAACCAGCAGCATCACTTGATTTGAGGCTGAAAACTGAGCGTTTCTTGGAAAGTAATATAGGAAAAAGATACCTACGACACTACCCAACGTCTTGGAATTCTGTGTTCAAGCCACAGATTGTTCTCACTATGGAGATCTTTGTACACAGTGTCAAAATAGCACACAAACAATAAAAAAAGTCTCCCATTGCAATTCCAAAGCAGCTTTGCTGAGTGTAGTCTTGGAATATGAAGGTTTTAAGAGTTCCCCCATTTCCTACAGGAACTGATGAGTAAATCTAAATACCATGTTTAATGAAAAACAACATATTGCTTGTTTAGTGTGAGGTTTGAGGTATTCCCATCCCTGCACGAAGAATGTTAAACCCGACTTTTTCCACTCCATCAGCACCCAAGATGTCCATGCACTGCAGGACTTCTGGGATCCCAAGTTTTCCAGCACGTCCCACTTAGCTGCATTTCCTAGGATGCTGTTTATTTCTCTGCTTGCAACTTCTCCTTTAACTTTATATTTTCAGCACAGAAATCTTAACAGACAAGAGCTTTCACAAATGTCTTCAGCCTGAGCAAAGAGTATTGACAACATTCTGTCAAACATGGTCATTAACTGTAGCAATAATATCTATCATTAAAAAAGAATCAAGGAGAAGCTGATTAAATACACCAGAAGGAAACAAAACTTTCTATTTCCTTACTCTTTCCTTGACACGTTGCACTTCACTTGAAGCCTGCTGATATACCAGCCAAAAGAATTGTGAGGGCCTGGATTCTTTCTTAATACAATAGTCATGGTTCACTAGTTAGAATCTGTACAGAATTAGCCAGAGACACGGACGAATGGAAAAACATGCTTAAAGGCTGAAAAATAGCCCTTTTTCATGGCTTAGTCATTAAAAAACCTCATCAATACAGCACTCGAGGAGTTTTTCTATGTCTACTAATCTAAAAAATGATCACAAAATAGTACACCGCAAATAAAGACAAGAAATGTCGCAGCAGTGCTTTTGCCTGGAATTTAGGAGTTAGCAAAAACTCAGGTCAGTGTTTCCATGCAAGTGCTTTCCTCCAGAGATTTTGGGTGCAAACTTCATCTTCACAGCTAAAGCAGCAGAAAGCAGAATTAGTACAATGAGCTGTGACACATCTTGTTCCATTTTTCCAATTTCTGCCTCAAGCAGCCATACCTGACAGCTGGAACCAGCACCACCCACTGAATCCAACAAAAGTGGTCTGGAAATACATCAGCGCAGACACAAAATGTGCTAATTAACGGGAATGTGATCAACATGAAAAGCCTGAGTGATGTTTCACTGCATCACAAGCTGTCCCTCCTGCAAGTCAACTCAGCCTTCAGACTATTGTTCATCCCCACAGGATCCAACTGCCATCCACATAAAATCAATAAGGATAGAACAGGAGACTTAATGGAGTCTCTGGCACCTTTCCCATTTCAGGACAAAGTCCTGCTGAGAAGGGGTTTCTTTTTACTCGACTTCAGGCTTAAACTTTTTGTCGTCGTTGCTTGGGTAGCTGAAAAGTTTTCAAAGAGAAAACGAGGCATCAGTGCCTGCTGGTGAATGTGCCATGTGTCTGGGAGTTAAAATCCAACACACTAGCATGGAGTCCGAGAGCTGGAGGTTCCTGCCCACATCTGAGCTCTCTGGAACATGAAAAAAGAGTTCTGGAAGTACAGAAAGCAAGTGGGGCCCACACCAAGGCTGTGTCAACCATTTCAAGCAGACAACTCCTACTCTACTGCCTT